TATGGCGGATAATGATTTAAGTAGTTCAGCTATTTGGAGCACGGTTAGTATGCTCATGAAAGCTCTAGGTCAGTTATTAGCATCCACATTTGCGTATAACATTTTTATGCTCCAACATTTCAATGCTGAAAAATGAGATAAACCGGTTTTTTGTGCAAACAAAAAATCATACACCCCCAACCATCACTGGAAAGACTTGGAAAAGCACAAAAAATATTTATCTCCTGCAAAACTGTGATTTGCCTTATTAATGGGGTATGTAAACCGAAATTTCCCCCCAAAGTTAGAGGCTGACAATGGCAATACGTTTTGGGTGATTAAGATTCCAATTTCAGAGATTAGTCGAAAAACCCAAAATTTCAAATCATTTTTTTTACAGCCACTTTTGATACAATTCCAGCCACGCCACTATATGACATCTCACACGATTCCATCTGATGTTTAACTTTAGTGTTCGATATGCTGGGAAAATACAGATAACTAAATGGGAAAATACAGATTCCAAAGCTCGTGGTCAAAAAGCGCTACTGAACTCTAGTGAACCGACATAAAACATACAGTATAATAAAGAATGCGTTGATATCTTCCCCAAGCCCAAAGCTGTTAATGACAACAATACAATTTGGTTCTATGTTTGAAATTTTTGCCAATCAGAATCAAGCAGTTAACACAGCGTTAGGCCAATTTAATGGAAACTAGCAGGCCTTCTGCAGCTAAAGCTGCATGAAAAAAGACAACGTTTATATTTAACAAAAATAAGGTGGATGGCTGGATGTTTAGCTGCTTGTAAGGATGGCTAGAAGGATCAATTGATATTCGAATGATTGGCTGGATGGATAAAGGATGGATTGAAGGCAGGATCTTTAGATGGATGGACACAAGTATGGCTGTCTAGATAGATGACTAGATGGCAAGTTGGATGGATGTAGGGATGGATCGCTTGCGTGATGGCTGGACCGAGGAATGACTGGTTGGATGTAAGCATGGCTAGATGGATGCCTGAATTAATTGTTGAAAGGATGGTTACAATGGATGGATAGATGCCTGAATTAATTGTTGAAAGGATGGTTACAATGGATGGATGATTAGACGACTCGTTGGATGAAAGGCTTTACGGATTGATAGCTGGATACATGCCTGGCTGGATGGCAAGAGGGATGGATAGCTAGATGAATGGACGGCTAGCTGAATGTATGGCAGTATGAAGGGATGGTGGTATTGAGAGACAACTGAATGGATGGATGTTTAGTTGCGTGAATGGCTAGATGAGTGGATAGCTAGATGATTTGATAGCTTGATTAATGGATCGCTTGAAGAGTGAATGATTTGCTGGATGGATGGATAAGTTGTTGGATGAATGTATGAACATAGGGCTAGTTCTACTGAAGGCTAGATCGATGGTGGGCAGCTGCATGGATGACTGATGGGAAGCATGTATGGTTAGACGAATGGATGTGGAACGCATGGATATCTAAACGGATTGATGGCTGGATCGATGATGCTGGATGGAGGACTGGCTGAATGTGTGGACAGACTGCCGGATGATTGATGGCTGGTTGCAATGGGTGGATCGTTGGATGGATGACTAGATGGCAAGATTGACGCAGGGCTATTTGACAGATGAAGGCTGGTTGACTGCATGTGTCGAAGGCCAGATGGGTGGATGAATGGTGGTGGCTAGATCGACGAAAAGCTAGATGAATGTTGGTTGGATGGACGGATGGCAAGACGAACGTACGGCTTGTTGGATGTATCAACCGATGGGTAAATGGATGGTGGCTTGATGGATGAATGGCGGTAAGAAGAGACGGCTAAATGGATGGAGGGCTAGGTGCATAGATGGTTTATTGGATGGATGGATGGATTGCTCATTGGATGGATTGATTGCTAGATAGATGAATAGTTAAACAGGTGGATCGCTTAGAGCATGAATGGCTTCATTGGGGGAATGACTGGAAGGAAGGCTAATTGAATGGATGGCTTGTTTGATGGATGGATTGATGGCTATTTGGATCGCTGGCGAGATCGACAGTAGACCGCTACATGGATAATTGTTTGTTGTTACAATTAACGTTCTCTATCTAATGATGCTCAATGTCATTTTGTAATTCAGGTTTATGTTGTGTAGTCTTTTATTGAAAGAAAGCTTTTTATAAGCCCGCGTTTATCACTCCGTCAGCATGCTAGATACAGAACAAACAACAGGCTATGGGCCCAGGAGACGACGACATACGAGGATTCAATTACGCCAAATTAAATAGAAGCATCTGCCGCGACTGGGCGTGGTACACCAAATTGTACCTACTAGAGCGAGGACTGTTTAAGTATGCGGATGACAGCTTGGAAAGGCCGACTGATGACAGCAGTGCTGACTGGATCAAGATGGCGCATTACCAACACATGACTGCGGACAAGTCTGTACTTTCGTTGTTGGTTAGGTATGAGGTCCCTCGAAAGATTCTTCTAGGGCACGAATCAGCCACTTTCGCATTGGGACAAGGTACAGTGGAGTGCGAACTGGCTTCGGGTCGACGGATAAGACTACACAACGTACTGCTGGTGCCCAAGCTGGGAAAGCGTTTGCAGTGTGTCAGCAATGTCTCAACAAGGCGCAGAGGTGTCCTTTGAGGGGAACACGTGCTTCATCAGGAAGTGCGGAGAGGTTGTGTAAAGGGACGAAACGTGGCGGGTTGTTCACATTGAACTTCAGTGGTGGCGCGGCGCGGGTAGCAATGTCGCAGCAATCAGTGGAGAGGTGGCATCGCCGGTTGGGTCACTTGAATGTCCAGACTCTCCGCAAGGCAGTTTCAAAGGTGCTAGGAGTTGTCCACAGCGACGTTTGTGTACCCTGGAAATTGCGTCGCTTGGCGGAGCGAGGTATTTCGTCAATTTCATGGAAGATCGGAGCCGGTTCTGCGTGATGAGATTTCTGAAGAGGAAGAGTGAAGTCCTGGATGAATTCAAGAAGTTTGTGGTGGAATCGGAGAGAGGCACTGGCCAAAAGGTGCGGGTGTTGCGATCGGATGATGGGGGCGAGTACAGGTCAAATTAATCCGAACGTTGATGGAAAGTGCAGGATCGATGCTGGCGCAGGCTGGTCTTGACAAGGAGTTTTGGAGCTTGATAGCAAGTCCAAGAAGATGATCTTCGTTGGATATCCCAATGGTCAGAAGGGTTATAAATTTTTGACCCAGTTGCTAGGCGCATGGTCGTGTCGCAGCATGCGAAGTTTCACGAGGACATCACCGGGTGTGATAATGAGGCGCCAAGTTCGGTCATTGTTGAGTTTGACCACACTAGCGCCGAGCCCGCATCAGCAGATGGACGATGTAGATATGGTCGCTGCTCCTGCTGCTGCGGATGGGGAGGAATTGGAATGTGTTGTCGGAACTCAAGGCGGATTTCTGTTGAATCAACTTATGAGGCAACATTCATGAATTCTCTTGAAAATCGTCCTCAAGCGGGAACGCAAGCCGGCGGTGAGCTTCGAGTCCTATCGCGTAGCAAAAATTGAAGAGCCGCAATCGCTCAGTGAAGCTCCTTAACGCGGAGCAGCACAGCAATAGAAATTCGCCGTCCAGGATGATTTCATGTCACTGGTTGCAAACCATACTTGGGAGCTCTTCCCACTCCCGAAAGGACGAAACATTGTGGGCAAGCGTTGGGTATTCAAAGTGAAACGGGACGCAGAGGGATAAGTAGAAAACTTCAAGGCACGTTTGGTGGCGCAAGGTTTTTCGCAGCGTAAAGGGATCGACTTCGAGGAGGTGTTTTCGCCTGTCGCGAAGCACGCAAGCATCAGTGTGCTTCTTGCTCTCAGTGTGCAACTTGGATGGCATTGCCATCAGATCGACATCAAGACAGCGTTCTTGAATGGCAAGATTGACGAAGAGATATACATTCGGCAACCAGAGGGGTTTGCAGACACTCATAATCCAACGTACGTATATCAACTCCTGCGCAGTTTGTATGGGTTGAAGCAATCAGCTCGGAGCTGAAATGAGAGGCTGCACCTATTCCTGTTAAGTATTGGATATCTGCAGGTACCTTCAGATGGTTGTCTGTATCGGAAGGCATCAGTTTCGGTTATCATTGCAGTTTATGTTGACGATAGTGATCTTCTGTTGCTCACTGGAGAATCTGTGCCATGAGAAGACTGGGCTCAAGCAGGAGTTTGAACTGACAGACCACGGAGAAGTTCATCATATTCTGCGTATGTTGAAGAAGGGTGAACACCCATGGCATGTATCTCAAGCAAAGTTCACTGACGGCGTGCTCAATCAGTTTGGTATAGAGTCATCCAAGCCAGTAGCTATGCCTCTAGAGGTAAAGATTGAGAATTGTGGTGATCCGCACGGTGATATTAAGCAGTATCAAGCGTTTCTCGGGTCGTTGATCTATTTCATGACTGCTTCGAGGCCTGATCTATTCGAGGCATTCTCTGTGAGCTGGCTAGCGCAATCCATGTGCTCTTCCTCTGCAGCACACTGGTCGGCATGCAAGAGGATTCTATGATACGTGCGTGGTTCACGTTCGATCGGTCTTAAGTTCAATAAGGTGACGGGACCGGTTTCGCTGGTAGGATACAGTGATTCGAGTTGGCCGAACAACCCAGAAGATCGTTCTTCAAACCGTGGCTATTGTTTTTGGTGTCGGATTGTCTTGTATATTGGCGTAGCCGCAAACAACGTTCTGTGGCACGCAGCTCGACCGAAGCGGAGCATGTCGCCTTTTCGGATTGTATTCAGGAAGCGATCTGGCTGAAATCATCTCTTCTTCGCGATTTGGTATATCTCCAGCTGGGGTCTACGAGGACAACCTTTGGTGCAATGGAACTGTGCAGAAACCCAAAGTTTCATAATCGCACCAAACACATTGACATTCATTACCATTTGTGTCGTCAGCATGTTATGGATGGCTTTGTGAAAGTGATGTATTGTCCAACGTCAGAAGTGCTCGCAGATGTATTCACAATGCCGTTGGCGGCTCCCGCATTCAAACGTCGCATCGCGGTGCTCGACATTGTGTTGTGGACAAGACTGAAGACGATTAAGCATCATGGGGGACTGTTACAATTAATATTCTCTATTTAATGATGCTTAATGTCATGTTGTATTTCAG